TGACTCCCTATACTCTTATTGTTTGCTCATTTATGTTACATGTGAATTATCCTAGGACGAGTCTACATTAGTATGGTACTCTGGTAAAGAGGAGAAGCAGATTAAGCTGAGTCAAGTCCAGAGAATTGTTCCTGGACAGCGCACAGTGAGTTTCTCTCTGAAATATAGCAACTTGGTCTAATGTTCTTGGGATAATGTCATATTATCATGCTCTTTTCCTTTTTATATATTCTTTTCTTCATATTTCGACGTGTTTTTACCCCCATCCTAGATTCAATGGCTACCGTTTGTTTCAGGCTACCTTTAAGAGATATCCTCGCCCCGAGAAAGAGTATCAGTCATTTTCGCTCATATGTCCTGATAGGTCCTTGGATTTGGTGAGTTTTCGTGGTATCTAAATGAGCCATACCATTTGTCAATTGTTGAATAGTATTTGAAGAATGGATATTCATCTTGACCTTGTTGATAATGTTTTGGGCAGATATGCAAAGACAAGGATGAAGCAGAAGTTTGGGTTGTTGGTTTGAAGGCTTTGATTACTCGGGTAAAAGTCTCCAAATGGAAAAACACTATAAAACCTGAGATCACTTCAGCGGAATGCCCAAGTCCAACCCCTCATGCACGAAGAGTGTCTCCATTTGTAACAGTTCTTGTAAGTAACACCATGTTTCATATTCTTAGTAACTGAACTACCAGCTTACTGTTTGCATCATCTTACCATAGGATCAAGTTATTCAACCCTCTACTGAGAATTCTGCACCAAACCGGCTGGGAAAAGTCTTTTCTGAGATTGTCTCACTAACTGCCCCAGCCAGTAACTATCAGACAGAAGCTAATAATGCCAACCTCTTCTTTCCATTTTCTCCGGGAAAGGTGGAAAATTCAAATTCACGATTTTCAACCAGTGACCCAGCTCGGATGAGTCTGTCTAGCGCTGTAAGCACCTCTAGCCACGGTTCATGTCACGAAGACTTTGATGCCTTAGGTGATGTTTTTTTCTGGGGTGAAGCTACAAGTGATGGTGTCATGAGCGGTACTGGAAAGTCATTAATTTCTACGACAGAGGATGCACTTTTACCTAAAGCATTAGAATCAACAATAGTTCTGGATGCCCAAAGCATTGGATGTGGTAGGTGTCATGCGGTTTTAGTTACCAAACAAGGAGAGATTTTTAGCTGGGGCGAGGGAAAAGGTGGAAAGCTAGGGCATGGCATAGAAAAAGATGCCCAACAACCAAAGTTCATTAGTAGTGTAAGAGGAATGGGTTTCAAATCTTTAGCGTGCGGAGAGTTTCATACATGCGCTGTTACTCAATCTGGTGATCTTTACAGTTGGGGTGATGGCACTCGGAATATCGATTTGCTTGGGCACGGGAGTGAATCCAGCTGCTGGATTCCCAAGAGAGTGACTGGTGTCTTACAGGGAGTGCATGTATCAGATGTTGCTTGCGGTGCCTGGCATACAGCAGTAGTTGCATCATCAGGCCAGTTGTTCACATTTGGAGATGGATCTTTTGGTGCTCTGGGGCATGGAGACCGGAGAAGCACTAGTGTTCCACGTGAAGTTGAAAGCCTAAGTGGACTAAGAGTAATGAAGGTTGCTTGTGGCGTTTGGCATACAGCTGCAGTGGTAGAAGTGACAAATGAAGGTGATGCAGAACTCTGCTCTTCAAGCGGGAAACTGTTCACATGGGGGGATGGTGAGAAAGGCCAGCTTGGTCATGGTGACAATGGTGCGAAACTACTTCCCGAGTGTGTAACTTCATTGCCAAACGTAAATATCTGTCAAGTTGCCTGTGGACATAGTCTTACGGTTTCTCTTACATCCAAAGGACATGTGTATACAATGGGTAGCACTGTTTATGGCCAACTGGGAAATCCTACCGCCAAGGGAAAGTTTCCTGCACGTGTTGAAGGAGACATAGTGGAGACTTCTGTGGAGGAGATTGCTTGTGGTTCTTATCATGTCGCAGTATTGACATCTAAATCAGAGATTTACACATGGGGAAAAGGGTTAAATGGCCAGCTTGGCCATGGAACCATTGAGAACAAAAGGGAACCTGCGGTTGTGGGGTTTCTGAGAGAAAAGCAAGTGAAGGCTATAACATGTGGATTCAACTTTACTGCTGTAATTTGTATTCACAGATGGGTACCTGGCTCTGAACATACAATCTGTGCTGGTTGCCGCAATCCCTTTAACTTTAGAAGAAAGCGCCACAACTGTTACAACTGTGGTCTAATATTTTGTAAAGTATGCAGCAGTAGGAAGTCTCTGAGAGCTGCTCTGGCGCCCGATATGAACAAACCATATCGAGTGTGTTATGGATGTTTTACCAAGCTGATAAAGTCAAGAGAACCATCTCCTTCTCCGCCAACTCCAAGGGCCAGAAACCTTTTGAATATGAGGAAATTGACGGATGTTTCAGAAAGAAGTAGGTTAACTCAAAAACTCCTCTCAGCTCACGCCAGAATATCTTCCGCTGACTCTTTATTGCATCATGGCGAAGGAAGGCACCACAGACAGGACTTGAAACCGGAAGTAAATAACCGTAATGTCTTCCCTTTCATGAATGGCACTTTACAGCCGGTTGGATCGCCATCATCCAAAGGATCAACAGCTTTGCCAAGAATTCCCAAGAATATGACCGTAAAAGTTCCTGGTTCACGAGTGAGCTCTCGCACAGCGTCTCCAGTTTCAGTAGTGTCAACTAGTCCACGTCGATCTTATGAAGTAACAGCTGAGGAATCAAAACAAATAAAAGACAGTTTTAGTCAAGAAATGGTGGGTCTAAAGGAACAGGTAACTCTTTTTTAATCGTCATCTGTTTAAACTGTAGATTACGTCAAAGCAAATGCTTCTAGACTGAAAAAAAAAAAATTCTATTCACTGAACATTGAAGGTAGATCAACTTACTTCCAAAACTCACCAACTAGAAGAGGAACTCGAAAAAACTAGAAGGCAATTGAAAGTGGTCACTGCAATGGCAGCAGATGAAGCAGAGGAAAACAGATCTGCAAAGGAGGTTATTAGATCTCTGACCACTCAGGTTTGACAACATTTTCCATACTTTAACTACATTCGTCTCGCTTGTTCTGTCTCGTATATCAATCCCTCATAATGTTAACGATGGTTTTGTAGTTGAAGGAAGTGGCTGAAAAGGTACCTCAAAAAGATGATATTAGCACCAACACAAAAC